AAAAAAAAAAAAAAAAAAAAAAAAAAACATAAAATCAAAAACTGTAGGATCGCAATGCGAGCCATGTTAATTTACTAAATGAACACTACATATTAATAACACTGAAGGCACTTTTCATCCAAGGTGAATTACAGTGCCATTTCTGCAGGGACAATACCCTTGGAGTGACTTGAGATTAAGTGCTTGCCTACAGGTATAATGGTGCCAGAGAAGATTGAGGTCTTAAAATCTCTTGTAGTTTTACATCATTCCTACCTGGGTCTGAACTTGCAGATTTTTTACTATAAACACAGATTACTACCAAATCTCTTCTTTTACTCTACAGTGCAATCCATTCAGTTTCTGCTCTCCGTTATTTAGAGTGTGTATAAAGTCCTTAATTATATATAGTGTACACTACAGTTCAAACACTTGGGGTCAATCAGAAAATACTTTTGTATACTGTCTAATGAACTGTACAGTCCCTCAAGATGTTGTCTATATAAACTTCTCCTTTTAAGGAATATAACTGAGGGGTACTAGACTGTTTTCTGTAGTGGCACTACCACTTGCTTTATTCTTAAAGACTTTTTAATCTGGTTAATTGAATAAGATTAGAGATTTTCAAACAATATATGCATGCTTTCAAACCTAATGAAAATGCAAAAACATTGTGTATCATCAAAATAATCATCATTTGCATGTCTAATGTATTTAATTGTCCTCATTTACTTGTCTAATCAAATATTCATTAACTGAGGCAAATTAGAAAAAAGTCTAATTAGAATGTAAAAAAAAATCTTAATACTGGAATATCAAATTGATAGAAGAGGCTATTAAAGAATGTACAGAAAATTAGCTGGCTATTTTGATGATGTTCTGAAATCAATTACAAATATCATATCTCATCTCATTTACTTTGTTCAAAGATACAGATACCAGGATTTAACAAACACACACACACACACAGACACAATGATACCTTCAGGCGGAGACGTATGGTGTTGCAGTCCCTCAGGGGGTTGAGTTTAAGCGTATCTCCCAGATTATTACAGGTGGATCTCAGGCGCTCGAGCTCACAGCAGACACACACACCATCACTGTCAAATTTGATCTGCAGAAGGACAGAAACAAACTGATTTCAGTTTCATGCAAGTCAATTGTTTATTTCTGCATAAAATGGGCAATAAATTGTGTGAATGCTCAAGGAGAAAACAAACATGTAGACAGGGCAGGCCAGGGACAATGGTAACACACTAAATTCCTTCCATCACAAGAATGATACAGTGATGACACTTGTTCAGCAGACGTGAAATAGTGTTCCCTGTCTGCCTGAGAGAAGCAGGATCATATTACCCCTTGAGAAATTGTCAACAAAAACTAATTTTGTGGTACGTTCCAAATTCTTCTGCGGTCTTGTTGCCATTGAATTTACACTTGATGGTTAAAAGTTATTATAGATGTCAGATGTTAATAGTGTAGCTGGCAGCTAGCAGACAGGGTCATATTTATAAAATACACAAATTAAATTCAAATCGTTTTGAATGTGAACAACACGTTTAACAATTTTTTTCCCAAACAAAAAAGCTGCATATTTGTGAAAAGCTTAATGTATTAAAAAACGAAAGAGAAATTACTCAAGTCTTCCACATTAATAAGTCTCGTATATTCTTAAACCTAACAGCATTATCCCAGTCATACTCATGTTTGTTAAGAAAGATCTTAATAAATTCCATACATGGTGGTCCTGCATTATAAATGCTTTTTGTGTTAGACTGAAACGAAGTCGCCATTTGACCTATATTGCACAAAAGCAATGTGTGAACTTTGCAAGCAGGGGTTAATTGAATTGGGGAAACAACTTCATTAATATTTCAGTCATGGCGGGATCATGTCTCTGAGGAGGCGAACGTTCAGTAGGCAGAGAGGAGAGTTGCTTAATCCAACATGCTAATCCCTAAATCAGGTGGAGAAGAGACTGATGGAGACAGAAGTCTGTATTTAGCCTGGTCTGAACCTGTAGACAAAGGGAGGGATAATTACCTGACCTGTTTTTGCACAACGGCACCAGGTGAGAAATGCCATTGGGTTCTCAATGTCATGTTTCCATGACGACAGGTGATTAAGACAGCGTTTTGTTTCTGTTCAATAATGGAGAATTACTGGAGGATTATGAAGGGCCTGTTTAAGGAGAGGACAATAGAAAGCGCTCCATGTTATTAATTCTTATTAATATTTTTAAATTAGTATCTTGTGAGACAAACTCCCCACTGTAGATTGAGTGAGACTTCAAATGCCTGGTGAAATCTAATCACCACTGGCTTCCGCTTGCTTAAAGAGAAAAGAAAAGAGTCATAAAATCAATATATAAATAAATAAATAAATAAAATAAATTGGATAAAAATTGGACCATTTCCCACTGATTTCACATACCACAAAATGTCACAATTTAAGCTTCTTTTCATTGCTAGGAGAAAAAGTGTGATCATTTATATTTGATTACATGAATGTATGATTTCATATCAACCACAGTGAGTTCTTCACAGTAGACAAAATGATTGAAATCACCTGAATATTTCATCTGTATGACATATTCAGTCTATTGAGCTCATGCCACATTGTGACATGCTTTGTAAGATGAATCATTACAGCATTTCAGGTTCAGTTTCAAAGAGCCATCAACACTTTCACTGTGCATTCATCTCAAAAACATCTGATCATTATTTATAAACCAATTTTTTTATTTTTTTATTTGATCATGAAAGTGTGTTCCAACTGACTGCCCACTACACAAGACAGTTTCTTTCAGTTTCTAATTACCTCTGAACTGAATAGACATTATTTAACTCAGTGTTGAATCACTCAATTCAAAAATATAAAATAGCTTTGCCATTAAGCTGGATTTTAATAAATATAAACATATAAACAAAATCTACTAATTCTACAAATACAAAACAGATACCAAAACCCCTTTGATGGTCATTTGTATGGTATGCATGTTAAAACAGAAGTTTGTGTTGAAAATGTAAGCCCCACACATAACAGATCACTGATACTAGAATGAAGCTAAAACAAATGTAAAGCCTCCATCCAGAAACTGAAAACCAGTCATGCATTTAATTGTGTTTGAAACAAACAAATACGAATTACCTGGTGATTAATGTACTGTATGCAGAAATATGGATGTGGAATAATTAATAACTAAGATCTTCAGCTAAACTCCAGCACTTGTTTCACATATAGTGGATTTAGTCCTGTTTATTTAAAAAAATCCTAAGAACACACTTGTAATGTTCATTTACCACCAGTTCTGAAAACTGTAACTCATCTGATCATTTAATTATTTATTGCTTCCACACCAGGCAGATAAATGGTCTTAGCTGGAGAGGGGTGTCCAGTTCTGGATAACAGAAATGGGGAAGCCGCGCTGAGCTGTTATGCTGCACTGGGCCAGCACTGGACCCACTGTAGAGCTGATAAATCAACCTCAATAGAAAACACAACAAAGCCTGACTGCTGTATTAATCTCCTTTATAAGCCTTCATTCAAAGAGCACAATGGGCAGCACACAAACATACTGTGCCATTCATTGAGGATATCCTTCAGTATCAAAAACAACAATTTAGAGGTATTATGATTTGCCATAAAAAACAATAGAAATTGGCTTTTTAGATTTCATATTTTAGCTTTACAATTTACAGTCTATTTACAGCTTTCATATTGATAACTGTAACACAGTAAGAACACAGAATAAACTCAGTCCACAATACTGTACATTCAGTATGTGTTCTCATACTCTAACAACATTTTAAGAATTTGTTCCTCTCTTGCAAAGGCAAAAGTGACCTCATGACAGGACCTCATGGCTAATATATGTGATGCTCACCCACTCCCATTCACTCAGCTGCTGCACTTTCAATCACAGGAGGACAGAATCTCTCCCCAGACAATTGATGATTATGATTTATTTTGTTAGAAAACCCCTGTGAGCTTCGGTAGCTGATCAGACAGCCGTTTTATTGAGGACAAAGGTGGTGGGTGTTAATATTTATTTCTGCTCCAACAGAATATTACAGGACGTACAAAATGGGTCCCGACAGACATTCTCATTCTCTCGGCATTAGCGACTGGTTGTTGAGCTAATTTACTGAGATCTTGACAAGGGCATGGTGTTAATGAATGATGCTCCTGGGAGCTATAATTGCTCAATGGATTGATTCTTTAGTGACAGGCTAGTTTTGAGTGGCTGATAAAAAAGACACAGGTTTATTTTCACTAAGCTATTTTGGACATAAGAATCTATTTGAGGTTTCCTATACAACAAAGAAGTGATTTCAGACATGGCTCTCTCACCAGTTGACAGTCCTCCAGAGAGTTGACCAACTGGGCATTCTGACAGGAAAGGATGGCTCCTGCGAGGTTCAGCATCACACACACAGCAGACAACAGCATGAAGAAAGTTATCTGTGGAGAAAGGAATGGAACAGACTGTCAGTTTCAGAGGTTATGGTGGTATATTAAGCCTACTAATAAACAAAAAACAGTAGGATACAATTTTTCATCTCATTAAACAGAACGATTCCACATAAAGGGTTCCCACATATTTTGGCCAACAAAAGTCCATGAATTTTAATATTTTTTTGAAACCGTGACGTTTCAGTATTCTTTGATGAATAGAAAGCACAAAAGAACAGCATATATTTGAAATATTTTATAATTGTCTTAATTGTCTTTTGTCTGAAATAATTGTCCTTACTGTCACTTTTGAACAATTTAATGCATGCTTTCTAAAAACAAAATCTTATTATCTCCAAAATGTTGAACTATTGTATATCATGTATGCAAAATAATAATGATACTAATAATAATACAGACCCAATTCCAAAAAAGTTGGGACATTGTACAAATTGTGAGCAAAAAAGGAATGGAATAATTTACAAATCTCATAAACTTATATTTTATTCACAATAGAATATAGATAACATATCAAATGTTGAAAGTGAGACATTTTGAAATGTCATGCCAAATATTGGCTCATTTTGGATTTCATGAGAGCTACACATTCCAAAAAAGTTGGGACAGGTAGCAATAAGAGGCCAGAAAAGTTAAATGTACATATAAGGAACAGCTGGAGGACCAATTTGCAACTTATTAGGTCAATTGGCAACATAATTGGGTATAAAAAGAGCCTCTCAGAGTAGCAGTGTCTCTCAGAAGTCAAGATGGGCAGAGGATCACCAATTCCCCCAATGCTGCAGCGAAAAATAGTGGAGCAATATCAGAAAGGAGTTTCTCAGAGAAAAAATTGCAAAGAGTTTGAAGTTCTCTTAACAGAGGTAATTATTATAAGTAAGCTACGAGCTAAGTAGCAAGCAAGGATCCTTTTGGCATAGGTTTAACCTTGAAATTATATGAGCCAAGAAACTTCTTCTTTATAAATGAAACATGAATTTTATTGGCTAATCTAGATTACATAAAAACCTAACTAAAACATACACACACATACACACAAAGATTCAAGGAAAGGAGTCAACGGAGTTGCATTAAGTTTCGCGAGTGGTTTTAAATTCAGCCTAGGAGAACACCAAGCAGCGATTGTCTTATCTTTACTGTTTAACTTAGCTCTACACCAGTTCAGCAGATCTGAAGAGTTTGTTCGTTTACTTGCGTTCTGTTTAGTTGAGAGCTGAACGCTGAGGCAGTTCCTTCACTGACGCGGGCTTCCTGGATGTCTGTTGAGGGAAATTCCTTCGCTGATTGGCTGTTGCTTTGACGTCGGAATGACGTTTGAATGACGTTCTTTTGGGGAAGCCCTCTTGGAGTTGTTGGTTGCCGGTTTACGGAAGAGGCTTCAGCAGTCCTGCTAAAAGCCTGAGTTTGCAAGACTTTGAAGATCTCTGAAGATCGCGAAGTCTCACTGAAGTGT